CCTCAGTATATTGCTGTGATGCATTACACATTCTGATGGAATCAATCCATTTGGCATTAATCCAATCACAACAAATTGCTTTGAATCAATTTGTTATATTGAGGTAATCCACAAGGTGTAATAGCATTGCCTCATGTTTTAAGTCAATCTATGCTTCACTATATCCTGTAGATATAAAGTCAAGAAAGATAGAATGAATATTGCATAAAGAAATCTTGGTTTGTAACATAACAGTAAGATAGTTCTTCCCTCTGATCTAAATAATATTTTCAGATGACAACAGTTTATGGATTTTCTATTAGTAAAATTCAATATCTATACATTCTAGTCTCCAGTTTAGTACACTTTAACATACAACTGAACAAAATTTGCATGTCAAATAATTTGCTGGTTGACAAATTATTTTGGAAACTGACTAAAGGATGCATCAGCCTGATTTTCTTTTTAATCTTTCCACTTTTCCCTATTTGTAAAGCACATTTTATTTTAAAAATGTGTGTGCATTACTCAAGCATTATTTGTGTACATTTCTATATAATGGATAACAGAGTTGGAAGTGACCTTGGAGGACTTCTAGTCCAACCCCCTGTTCAGGTAGGAAACCTATACAATACAGAAAAATATATGCTTGTCTATCAGCAAGTAGCTTTGTGTGTTTTTTCAGTGCATGCAGTTTTATACATATATTTTTATTGAAAATTTTTATTTCAAAAAATAAATAACTGCCAAAAATGGAGATGATTCCATGCCAGTTGCATGACCTTTGAAAAATGTTAATTGAGTCATTTTGCATTTCAGTAATATAGAAACAAAGCAAAATTTGCTTATTCCTAAATTAACTGCTACAAAGCTGATTTAGATGTGTATGACAAAAGTAGTTCCATGTTCTTTTCTATAAACATGTTTATGGAAAGTTTAAAATTCCAACTGGGTATGGTGAGACCCCTGGAAATCCCTAAAGCAGCTCATTCAATTACTTTACTATATAAGCAATTTAATGTAAGGGTGATATTTTTTTTAAAAAAAAATTAGATATCACATTAAAATTATACAGACAGAAGTATGTCACTAGATACTGTTTCTTCTTCCTAAATAAATAATACATGAATTTATTACAATTATTAACAAGTGTATTTTATTTTGTTGACAATTACTCTAGCATTAGTTTGATTTTTCATGGATTTATTCTTACAATGTCCACATAGGCTTCTTTATTAATCTTGGCTGGACATTGTAGCATTTGAAAGAATAAATTTTCTTTTAGGCAATCATTTTTGAAATGTTGGGTGATCCATAAATATAAATTCCACCCATCATGAATCAGGATTCGGTTCCTGACATCAGCAGTTACCTTCATAATAAGAATACTTTTATTTTTTTAAAGGAAAAGAATTAAGAGCATTAGGAAAAGGAAGCATAATTAAATACAGCCTGTCATCCTAGACTTTTTCTAATCAGAGAGAGACCAACATTTTTATGGCTTTCTTCAGTATGATTTGCAATGCAAACAAAAGCAAGTCCCTCTGAGATCTGTGTCATCGATAAGTGGATAAACAGAAGTCTTCAAGTCACCAAATCCTTCCAAAGAAGGACATTGCATTGCTCCTAAAGAGTAATACAAACTAACCATTTACAGAATTATGATATTTCAGCCAACATTATTCTAAGTCACTAATATATCCATATGTTACAGGACATGTATTTCAATCTCAAATATCACTCAAGTGGATATATTAACAAAAAGCCTACCACTTTCTGTTTGAAGATTTAAAGCATTTGAAAGCACATTTAAATTATGTGTTACGAACTTTGCAAATAAAAAGAGTAAGAAACTTCCTGATAATAACGATAGAACAATCTTCTATTTGTCATTTCAGAGAGGGGTAAGTGACTGAATTCTGATGAGTATCCAAGGAGGAAGGGGAAGGAAAATCCATTTATCTTGTACTTTCTTTCTCTAGAAAAGTACCTGCAGATGCTTGCAGACAATGTGGCTCCGTGTAAGGATACCCCTAATCCCTTCTTCCCACAAGTGTAGTTGGATGAACATGCTTTGGGAAATAGGAGTAGGAGAGCCCTTAAAATGACACAGCACTTTAAAAAGATATAAATGAAAATGGGCTCTTCTACCCTTCCCTTTCCTCTTCTGAATCTTCCCTCCTATATGGAGGGAAGTCAGCTTTACTTAGTCTTTTATACATGTATTCACAAGTGACAAGTCACAATTCAGGTGATCACAGTTTGGAAGAGAATGGAGGAAAACTAGTAAAGCCTGATCCTGATCCACAAGTCCAAAATTCTGTTTCAGAAATTTTGTGATATGTTCCAGAGCTGATCTGGGAGGAATGGCCCTAAATTGAGCAGCAGTGGTGCAGTGGTTAGAGTGCAGTACTGCAGGCTACTCCTGCTGACTGCCGGCTGACTGCAATTTGGCAGTTAAAATCTCACCAGGCTCAAGGTTGCCTCAGTCTTCCATCCTTCCGAGGTGAGTAAAATTGTTGGGAGCAATATGCTGACTCTGTAAACCGCTTAGAGAGGACTGTAGAAGCACTGTAAAGCAGTATATAAGTCTAAGTGCTATTGCTATTGCTTGTATTGCAAAATACAAACCTTCTGTTTTGGGAAGTCTAAGTTTGCTAATCATTAAAATAAATTATTGTTCCTTTTCACACTTTCTCAGAAAGAAAAATGAGACCTGCCCTTTATATGACATTCAAGGCCATCGATTTTTCATAAAGGAAGCTTTTCAACAATAGGGATTTTGGTTACTACTCAGGAAGATAGACAATTCCCAGAAAGTTAAATGTCTAGAAGATAAAGTGATCAATGGAGAGTTATGTAGCACAGAAAACAGATAAAAGTGGGGAAATGGTATGTGTCTTGTTTAACAAAGGATAAGGCTTTTTGGAGGGGTTTATTGTTGTTTTTAATTTCAGGCTTTCTATACTTTTTAAATAGTTGGGACAAATCTATATAATTCAGCAATGGGCTTTCTTGCATACAGAAACCACATTTCTACCCATACCTTTGTGGCATCAATATCAGTAAAAGCTACGCCAAACAGTCAACAGGTTGATTTTAGGATTTGCTTTCTATTTACTGGTATTCTAGCAATAGCACTTAGCACTTAGACATATATACCTCTTCACAGTGGTTTACAGTCAGCATATTGCTCCCAATAACCTGGCTCCTCATTTTACCCACTTCAGAAGGATCGAAGGTTGAGTCAACCTTGAGCTGGTGAGAATTGAACCGCCAAACTGTAGTACTGCATTCTAACCACTGCACCACCACAGCTCTAAAAAGTAGGGTTATATATTTTGCTTCTAAATGACAACTTGTCATTCATGGGAGATATTCTGAAAGACATTGTAGAGTGAGAGCAGCAACAAAGCAGATAACTTCAGCATGGTGTGAACCGCCTCTTATTTGACACAAATAAAGAGGAGTGGAGTACTAGAGAATAATTTCTGAAATCTATATTAAACTCTTGAGACAACTGTAAATGAGGAAAAGTCATTATCTCAAGATTTAAGAAATTTCTGGCAATGTAAAGATAACTGGGATGAATCCATGCCTTTAACCTGCATGACTGCAGATTACCTGAACAAAGTGCTGGTAGGTAAGGTCCCAGGAAAATCCTTCTTGCAGTAGTACATTTATCACTGCCTGAACCTACCTAGAGGTCTCCATCCTGGAGGCTTTCATCAACTAGGCTGGACACGGATCTAATTGACAAGTAGTTGTGCTGATAGCACTGAGGACCCTGTCCACTTCATCAAGTCCAATAGGATCAAACTGTTTCAAGAAAACTGGGTAAAACCATCTTACCAGGCATCTCTAATAACCTGATGCTGTCAGCTCAAGTACCTGTCAATAGATCCATGTCTCTCCTGGTTGGTGAACGCTAATGATTTTAACATGGAGAGCAAGGGTGAAATGCTCCCAGATCAGACCAGATCACCTGGTCAGGTAGTAATCTTAGCCATTGGTTCAGCGATCTGGTAGCAATGGCGGAGCAAAGCTCTGCCCATCCGCCTGGATGTCATTGCTTCCTGGTTTTAATGTAATGTGTTTTTTACCTTCTGTGCATGCACAGAAGGTCTGCGCGCACATGTGATGCACGTGCAAGAAAGCAAAGTGAGCGCATGCATGGCATGTGCGCTTCCAAACCAGTAAGGAAGGTAAGTAGATTTCACCCCTGATGGAGAGTAGCTGAAAAATATACAATGTATTCCCAACAAAAATTGAAAAATGACATGATAAATTTGATTGTTTGAAATGAATAATTAGTTCTTATATTTTTATCCGGAGGCATAAATATTCATTTTATTTATTAATTTGATTAGTAATTAATTTGTTTTGAGGTCTCACTTGTATAAACTGGTAAGGTTATGACATCCTAAATTCAGGTCCCTCTAGTTCAAATCAAATATTGAAAACAACAAATCATACTGCACAGTGGGTTGTAATATTTTTTAAACAATAAGGGGAAAAACACAAACATATTTTGTTAATTAATTGCAAACAAACTTTGAGGACAAGAATGTGTGTACATGTGTATACACACACACATAGATGTACAACTGGTAATTATAACTGAAGCAAATTATAGCTAAGTTTGTGCTGAAATCCAGTTACATATATAACTTCCAGATAAACCTGGAAAAGGTTCACAATTGGACCATCCAAATAAGCAAATAATGCAATAATATACAGGAAATAAAGTTAGTTAGGAACATTACTGACAGTTTACTGTCTACTATTGTATAATCAGTAGTTAAATGTGAAAAGGAAAACAAGATTTATGTGGAATAAGCTAACTCTACTAGTACTCAGCTAAAGACTAGTAAAATAGTAGAGAGATGACATGTATTTTGATCCTCACTTTTCCTCCAGCTGTCACAAGGTTTGTTTTAAGGCTTAACTTAAAGTCAGAAGAAAACTGAGAAAATAATGTTGGAGTCCCTAGAAAGAAATGGGGAGAAAAGTTTCCCAACCTGTTGTTTTAGCTGATGGACCAATCTGTCTTTTTCTCTTTTCAAAGCCATCACTTCTTCCTGCGTTTTCTTTTTCTTTGAAGCAGACAGCTCAAGCAAGGCAATGTTTGCATCTTTTTCACTAATGGCAGCAAGCAATGCTTCCTGTCTGAAAAAAGAAAAAAAGAAAGAAAGAAAGAAAGAAAGAAAGAAAGAAAGAAAGAAAGAAAGAAAGAAGGAAGGAAGGAAGGAAGGAAGGAAGGAAGGAAGGAAGGAAGGAAGGAAGGAAGGAAGGAAGGAAAGAAAGAAAGAAAGAAAGAAGAAAGAAAGAAAGAAAGAAAGAAAGAAAGAAAGAAAGAAAGAAAGAAAGAAAGAAAGAAAGTCAAATCTCTGGGCAAACATTTTCTAGAACAAAGAATAGTTTATAAAATGTAAAACCAAGAAGAAAATCATATTAAGCTTCTTCAATACATGTTGAATTTTAGCTTGTATATACTGTACATGGTACTCCCAAACATATTTTTTCTGGGTTGGTTTGTATAATATTCTTGTAATTTAATTTGTGACATCATTGGCAAGTGAATATCGGATATTTTATAAATAATGGTGCATGAATACTACTATTTACATGTATACCTGGTGCATATATGGAATGTGGTATAAATTAAGGCCATCTCTGCAAAACCATATGTGAACTGTAAGTTTTCTTGGAACAGCAGAATTCAAGTTAACTAATGTTCATAATTGATATATTACCCTGATCTAATAAAGAATCTAAGGAACTAGTTTAAGTCTTGCAACTTTCCATATTATGTTAGAAAACTCTGTGGCGTACTTCAAGTTGCTTAGGCAGTTACTTACCAGTTTTTTATTGTTAAAATATGATTTTTGAAGCCTGTTTTTTACAAGTTCAACTACAAACATATTTATCCATCCCTCAATTGCCAGTTTTACCATTTTACACTGGGTGATTACACTTTTTACAAATTATTTTACAATGGTACTCATCAACCATAAAACATGATCAACAAGATGTGAACTCTGCCATCTTTTTCAATGGTCTTCTTGATTCAGTACTGACTAAATTGCAAAGTTAGTCCTCATAAATCACTTAAGCAGGGTATTCACTGAGGGTTGAGAGCAAAAAAGTATGTTTCAAGAAAGATTGGTTCCAATTCATTGCTGCCAATCTCCCAAAACATGAGTAATCGTAGCTATGATGAAAACAAAACTTATCATGGTCTTTTGAAGGCAACCAGATTTCTTATTTAATAAATCTTAGTAATCAAAACCATACCAGAATACTAATTGTTTCCTTTCACAGGTCCACCCCTCACCAATTCCTAATAACAATTTATATGCATAAGAATATAAATTTAAAGACATTATTCCATTTCTAGTAATACTGTGAGATATAGTAAATATAGCCCCAAAAGAAGCAGCATCTTAAATTCATTACTCAAATTCTATAATCAGTAACAGTTTCTCTATCAGAAGAGGTTTCATCAACATAGGATGGTGATGATGATTGATTGATACTATTATTGATAGTATTACTCAGACCAAGGAATTTTATCAGAATCTTGAATTCTGGGGAATGTTGTAGCAAAGTACAATATCAAAAGTCTCAATCGCATAAATGAGTACAGAAATGCACTTGAAGTACAATCTGTAAAATTCAAGAAACCCTCACATACTACATTTCATTGCTTTTTCATTTTTGCATATCTGTGTTTCCTGCTACTGATAACTCTCAGAGAAGGAAAACCCATCATTATCTTAACAGTAACTTTATTGTTACATTTTTCCACATATTCAGAAAAAGTACTAAAATTCAGTGTGACAAAGTTTGTGTGTATGTGATGTATGCATCTATACATGTGTTTAATGTATTGGGTTCTATTTTATAAATTCATGGCTGAAATAAACACAATATACTCAAACCCTAAAACAGTTTTAGTCAATATACTATAATTATAAGATATATACAGCTTTCAGCAGAACCCTACACTAGCTTTATATAAATATGAAGTCTGTAGACAGTGATATGATCAAAATTCAGAAAATGTGTGCAGCTCTATGAAAACCTATGAATACCAACAGCAGTGATAGAAAAAGCAGGTTTGTGATGAGATTTTAAAGAATATGTTAAGGGCTAAATCATTCATTTCTACTGGTTTAGAAAAAATTATGAAATGGTCATGAGAACACTATAAAGACACAGCAATAGATTCCCAATAAAATTTATTCTATCTCCTGTCAAACACACAGTGTATGCCTTTTATTAGAGCCATTAAAGGGATTTTGGTTCCAAACCAGGATGAAAGCTTGTCTAGAAGTTATTGTAAACATTTGATGTCATTTAGGACTATCTGGAGCTGTGAAGTAACCACAGGCTCTTGGTATTAGTCCCCAAGCAATGAATGCACACATATTCACATTTCTGTCACTTAAAAGAAACAGAACATGGGAAATAATATATTTATAGGTAATTATAAATAAGTTTCTATATGTTAAGAGATATTAGTCTCAAAATAAGGGTTAAAATGTTAAAAACAAAACAAAAATAAATAAGAGACATTTAACATACACTTGAACCTAATTAACAACAGATCAAAACATGCACTAAAACAGATTTAATAACCTTACACTGTGTTCAGTTTTTAGAAAATGTTTACAACAGAGCTAATGAAATAGACAAAAATGGTTTTAGCTTGCACTGAAAAAAATATGTTTAGAATTAAACAAATGTTCGGTGTTGATTGCTGTCAAGCAGTTTAACCCTCTTGAACAGTCTCCCAGAAGCCTTTAAGAATAATCCATTGCCATGGTACCTCACAGTCTATTTAAAAGGGAATAATGTAAACACTTTGGCTTCATTCCCCAGCTTGATTAATCAGAGCACAGTCTTCTATGCTTTTTCAATAGTAACTAAGTTGAGTAAATGGAAGAGTGAGGCAATGCAATATGAAGACTTCAATATTTCTGAAAGCAAGTTTTCCCCATGTAAAATTGCCACCAATATAATCCTACAAATATACTTACAATAGACATTGTCACTGTCTATTGACATTGTCATAAAATATATAATTAATTGCAAAATAACAACATATAATTAATACCACTTTAATTGGAACATATATCCCATCTTTTATGTTCTGATCATAAGTGAATGGAAAATAAGCTACTCAATCATCCTGTCACCTTAATTGTTGTTTTCTTTCTCTTCTGACCCTGAGCATTCAACTTTAGGTTCCGTAGGAGGTGATTTCAGGAAAACTGTGCTGAGAGATCCCATTTGAAGCAACTTCTTTCTTTCATTCACCTTCTGCCCCCAACCAAACATGCTCTTAATCTACTATGGATATAGATGTAAATGATTGTTTAAATAAACAATCAGAGCTCTATTATCTGCACTGAATGCATATTTCCTTTTTAAAACGATATATTATGTCACATCTGCACAATTGCCCCAAAATAATAATTTATGGAAAAATTCAATACCACATTTGACATTCTAGATTTACCGGTATGTTTTGTGGCACTGGCTGACAGAAGAATTTCTCAGGAATGGATTCTGGAGGCCAATCAGTGGTGGGATTCAGCCAGTTCACACCACTTCGGGAGAACCGGTTGTTAACTTTCTGAGCAGTTTGGCAAACTGGTTGTTGGAAGAAATCATTAGGGCAGAGAACCGGTTGTTAAATTACTTGAATCCCACCACTGAGGCCAATCCATAAAAGGAAATAGTTACAGCTCCTGGAATTAGCACTTCCCCACAGATTCTTCCCAAGTATATAACAATATATGGAGGGGAAGGCATCACACCGTGCTCTCTTCTCCAAGCTGGCTCCTAACTCCTAATCTTTCTACAGACAACCTATGGTGTGTATATCATATACCATGATATTTTCCCACCATGCACTATTGCACAAAAGTCAGGGAAATCTGATCCAATGCTGCTACATGCACAGGGAAGTAAATCCAGAGAGGGTACAACCATAGAACCACACATTGAGAGATTGCTTTAACTAGTTTTTAATTAGTGTTGTGACATAGAAATATAGCTGGGCACCATATTGGCTCTCTTAGTCCTGTTTAGTCATCTTTTAAAAGCTGGACAAGCTGAAGGGTCATGAGTTAAAAGATGGAAGGTAACATTAGAGGAGGGGTGTCAAACTGGTGGCCCATGGGCCAGATGCATCACACACACAGGCCACACCCACCCCAGCTCTGTGAAGGGGGAAAATGTCACTATACATCACATGCTGGCAACATGACGCCGTGCGTTAGACACCCGTGCACTAGAAAAATGTTACTACTGAAGATCTGATGTAATGTGCTTTTTAATCTCTTAACTAGACAGGTAGTGCTTGCTTGCTTACTGCTTACTTCGCTTAACAACTGCTCAAAGTTACAAACATGCAAAAAAAAAAACAACCCACCAAACTTTGTGACCAATACATTTACATTTCCATCTTTGCAACATCCCATGGTCAGGTGATCACCGTGCGGTCACGTGGTCATTTCACAACTGGTTTGTGACATGTAGAGTTAATAAAGAAGGGCTTGGTCACATGGTTTTCTGCTTAGCCATTAATTTACCAATCCTAATTGTGGTCACTAACTAAGAACTTTCTCCTTATCAAAAATTAATCCATATATTTGATATGTGGATTAATATATATATATTTGCCACTAACTCAAGAACAATATCACATGGTCAATAGGTCCTACTGCGAGGTTGGGAATGCATTGGCAACGGATAAGCACTATTAATGAGTTAGCAATTCAGTTGAATTTAATGAAAGTACTCTTGGCCCAAGTTAAAACATTTTTGCACATAGATTTAGAGCACAAAACCATATGTACTCACAAATACACATGGGATAATAATTGAAAAAGCAGATACAGAAATTCATGGATAATAAAACCATTATTTATTCTCAGTTTCAATGATCAAAGAATATAATTGCATGGAATAGTCTTCATTAAGACGTGTTCCCAGAAAAATTATCCAGAAATGAATAATTCTGGCAATTCCCATTCCAACACATAAAGAAGATGCCATATTGAAAATGATGAATGTGAAGTATTTGGATTTGGCTAGGAATTGTATGTATTACACTAATTGAATCTGAATGAGAACCACAACAAAATAATGGTTTT